GTACCGAGTAAATCAAAAGACATAAATCCATAAATAGGAGTTTGTTAAGAACTCAGGATTAAGATCATCCTATATATGACCATCAGTAGACTCAATCAGAATTTCTATGCTTAACGGAAATTATTAGAAATTCATATTGTGTCTGTGTCCTTGTTCCACATAGTCTTATTATGCGAAATACACTCATTCAATATCTTGCCATATTAACAGTGTGGATAACACCGTTCCATTCTAAATGGGAATGACATGTATTAACAATGTTTTAATTAAAGATTCCGAACTTTAATTAAATTCATCATGAACAATGTTTTTGATTATTATCCTTAAACACTATCCTCTCGTATATAACACTTATATACTATGTTTAAGGTTACATAAACAATCACGGAATTTTCATTTGATATTCATAAAATATTCATAAATATATGCACATAAAATGATGAATAAACTCTTTTATTAATTAAATAATAAATATCCTATTACATCTCATGCTTCTAGGACACTATTCCTTTGAGGTTTCAATTCCAATCGTGCCACTAACTTCACGTAGCCCTAGCCCCGTTTGCCTTTGAGGTTTCAATTCCAATCGTGCCACTAACTTTCTCATCAAAATCAACAATTTAGAGTTTGATCTTTCTCACCAAACATTCTCGTTTAATTATATGCAATTGTATCATATTAGTGTGCCATAGTTCAAAATCAATGTTCATAAACAACTCTTAATTCAAGTCATGATTCTTTGACAATGGAGACTTATTCCGGAGAATCGAATGGGAAACAAGGATTCATGTGGCTAATCCACTCATTTTGAATTCTCAAATGAGGTTAGGTCAATCCCACATTGAATTTCGTGGTCAAAACAGGGTTTCTAGGCTGTTTAGGGTCGGGTTTAGTGGGAACCGGTCGACCGGTGACAGAGGAGTGTAACTCCACCGGTCGGCCGGTGGAGGGGTGACCGGTCGACCTTGTGGAAGGGTGACTGGTCAACCGGACTGGTCGACCGGTGGGGAAAAATCCCAGGGCCAGCCATGGCCGACTCACAAGGAACAAAGCCAAAACCTGTAAATTTTGGGTTCGATTTTGACATATTCTCAAGGGAAATGTATATATCAAGTTTCAAATCAACAAATGGGGTCCAAAGAATCAAAACCCCTAATTTTCATCAAGGTTTTCATAAAATCCATTCGAAAATGAAATTTAAACCAAAAATCACTAAACTCGACTAAAACGAGTTCCATAAGGCTAAATCTGAAAATCCAAAGTAAGTTTCAAAGAGTTTTACCTCGATCCAAGCTTTAATGTTGAAAATTTCTTGAAAACCTCCATTTTTGGTTTAGATCCGGCCCTTGAGAAAGGAAACTTTGAGAGAGAGAGATGAACGGGAGAGGGAGAGAGAGAGAGAGAGAGCTCGGGATAGAGAGAGGGAGAGTGAGCTCAAGAGATTGATAGGGAGAGAGAGAGTGTGTGTGTCGTGACAGAGAGTGAGGGAGAGTAACGTGAGGAAGAGAAAGAGAAAAGAAATAAGGAAAAAGGAAAAAGGATAAATAGAAGGAAAAGAAAATTGGGAAAAATATTAAGGAAAAATAAATAAGATAAATAGGGGTGAAATTGCAAATACCAAAAATAAATGTAAAAGTTCATGATTAATTAAGAAAAAAAATTTAGGCACACTAATAAACCACAATTATCATAATTAAACAAGTTTAATTCCGGAAGGCGTTACAGTAATCCTGTTGACGAAATTCCACCGTCAACAATTGGCGACTCCACTGGGGATCGAACCCAGAATATCTAGTTCATACGTTTCAACCCTCGAAAAATAAGATAGTCGGCGACCATGCCTCCAAGAAGGAGAGATACCACCGCCAACCAAGGCAGCTAGATGGAGGAAAACACCACACATCCGGCTTATGACGGGAGCGGGGAAAGCCAACCCCCGGCAGGAATTGAAGCTCCACCCCCAGATGTGTCGCAACCTGACCCAAGGCAGATGCATGCCTACCTCAATGCTCAGACAGACTTAGTGCGGGGGCTAATGACCATCGTCGAAAGAGTGGACAGAAGAAACTTTATGCCACCACTGGAAGATGCCCCGAGACCCTCAGGAGCAGCAATGGCAGGAAACCAAAATCCCGGTAACTGCCAAGGCGCTTCAGAAGGAATTGGGGACAGTGAAAATATGGGAGGCAACCAGAGACTTTGACCATCTCAATCTCTCGGCAACTGTCGGAGGGCCGCCAGACGCCAAGCTCAAGAGAGCAGAGTGGCAGAAGACTTGCAGAACCCCGAAGTGCCGCCTCAGAATCGAGGTGGAAATATCCCTGGAGATTTGGGGTCAGTACGAGAAGGTGGAAACCCAATTGACAGGTAGGATGCATGGGGGGAAGGAGCCTCTAAAGGGGGCGGCTCCGTAATCTCGACAGAGGAAGCGCAAGCCATCATAGAACGAATGACGAGCTTAGAAGAAAAATTTACGGGTGATGTTACTAGCCTAAAGAAGAACATAGGATAGGTGGCAGAAGTGGTAAATGTCGACATCACTCCCAGTCAGATGCATGACCACCCATTCACCGCGGAAATCATGGCGCCGCCTCTTCCAGACAAATATCGGTCGCCACTGATCCCACCATATGATGGCAGAGGGGATCCAAATGATCACCTGGAAATGTATACAGGGCACATGCTTCTACATAGGTATGCAGAAGAAATCATGTGTCAGGCCTTCTGAAACCATCTGACAGATTCTGCCCGAAGATGGTTCAGAACGCTTAAACCAAGCTCCATTTCTAGCTGGAATGAACTAAAAGAAGCCTTCTGCCTCCAGTTTATCAGAGTGAAGAAGTATGTCCCTCCAAAGTAGAACTTAACGATGATTTACTAAAAACTGAACGAGTCATTAAAAGAATGGCTTGCAAGGTATGGAGAAGCTATCGCTGCCACAACGGATATGACTGACCGGGAGGCCCTGATAGGGACAATGTCCAGCATGAAGAAAATCACTCCCTTCAAAAGGGACCTAAACTGGAAGCCACCGTTGACTTACAAAGAATTCCTAGCACAGGCGCAAGGATACATCAACGCCGAGGAAGCTTACGCGAACGACCTTGAACACAGGTCCAACAAAAATAAAGGAACTAAGCAAGGGTCAACTATAGGAAAGCAAGACGGTAAAAAGCGATGAGGCAACGGAGACAAGCAACCTGCCTCAACGTCGAACCCTCTATATGCCAAGAAGCCGAGGCAAGACAAAAGCTGTAAGCCTCGACCTTTTCAGAGGTATGACTCTTACCATGAACTTACTATAAGGGTCGAAGAGGTGTTCAACCAAGTCGGACGAGGGAATCTGTTACGCCGACCCGAACCTATGAGGTCGGACCCAAGTCGAAGGAACCAAAACAAATATTGCAGGTTCCACGGCGACGTCGGCCATAACACCAACGACTGCGCCAACCTTAAGGATGAAATAGAACAGGTGATCCGTGAAGGAAGGCTGCAGGAGTTCAAGGCAGAGCGGAGGCCAAGGAATGACGGTCACAACGGCCAGAATGGCGGTCGACGCCGAGAAGAGAATCGACGACCAGAGGACTGAGAACCTGTCGGCATCATAAGAACAGTTCTCGGCGGTCCGTATATTAGAGGAAACTCGAGAAGGTCCCAAAAGGATTATGCCCATGAGGCTAGAGGGGTATACCCGTAGAAGTTTTGGAATCTCTCAACAGCAAAAATAGCAAAGTACAACAGTGCTGATGTGGCATTCAACGAAAAGGATGCAAATGGGGTCCACTTCCCCCATAATGATGCCTTGGTAGTACAAGTGATAATCGGGAACCACACTGTATGTAGAATCCTGGTGGATAACGGGAGCTTAGTGGACCTCCTATACGCTGATTGCCTAGAAAAAATGGGGGTCCCCAAGGAGCAATTAGAAAAGACATCCCGACCGTTATACGGGTTGACTGGGGATTCGGTCATCCCCCAGGGGACTATCTGACTATCAATAACCGCAGGGGAGAAGCCTAGGCACACCACGACAATGGCTAACTTCGTGGTAATAAAGGGGGGCTCACAATACAACGCTATAACTGGAAGGCCGACCCTTCAGGCGTTAAGGGCAATAACCTCCATTTACCACCAGAAGGTTAAATTCCCAACTCCGAATGGCGTGGGCGAAATGAAAAGCAATCAATACGAAGCTGGAGTCACCTACTCCGACGCCCTACGTGGGTATGATTAACCAGGGAGGCAAGAAGCCAGAGTGATCCATCAAGGTGCCATGGAGGACATAGACCCCCGAGTTCAAGAAGAAATCACATGGTCTCAATCAATCGAGCAACTAATAGAAGTCCGGGTGGATGAAGATGAGCCTACAAAAGTGTTGAAAATAGGTTCAGACCTAACTCCAGCGCTTAGGATTGAAGTTGAGGGTTTTCTCAAAAGGAACCTGTACATATTCGCCTGGACTCACGCCGACATGAAAGGGATCGATGCCAAAGTTATGTGCCATACATTAAACGTCGACCTTTTACATTCCCCCAAATGACAAAAGCGCTGACCAATGAATCCCGAGAGATACGAAGCGCTAAAAGAAGAAGTTGACAAGTTAATCAATAATGGATTTATTCGGGAGGCCCACTATCCTAGTTGGGTTTCAAACCCCATTTTGGTAATAAAACCCAACAGGACGTGGAGGACATGCGTCGACTTCAGCGACCTAAACAAAGCATGCCCAAAAGATGGTTTTCCACTCGCCCGAATAGACCAAATGGTCGACGCCATAGTTGGCCATGAGATGTTGAGTTTTATGGATGCCTACTCCGGCTACAATCAGATCCCCATGCATCCATCCGACGAAGAGCACACGTCGTTCATTACCAACAGGGGCCATTACTGCCACAAGGTAATGCCCTTTGGTTTGAAAAATGCAGGGGCAACATACCAAAGGCTCGTGAACAAAATGTTCGCCAAACTGATCGGGGCAGATCAATGAAGGTGTACGTTGACGACATGCTGGTAAAGAGTGCTAGGGCAGCTCAGCACATTACTTATTTGGAAGAAATGTTTAATGTGCTAAAAAGGTACCACATGAAACTGAACCCCTTAAAATGTGCCTTCGGGGTTGGGTCCGGAAAGTTCCTTGGTTTTATGGTCAGTAACCGAGGAATAGAGGCCAACCAAGAAAAGATACAATCCCTGCAGGATATGAAGTCTCCTACAAAATCAAAAGAAGTGCAAAGGTTGACAGGATGTATCACCGCACTTAACAGGTTCATATCAAAGGCAACGGATAAATGTGTTCCTTTCTTTGACGCCTTGAAAGGAAGCAATCACTTTGAATGGACTCCACGATGCGAGAAGGCTTTCCAGAAATTAAAAGAGCACTTAGGCATGCCCCCAATTCTGTCAAAACCCATCCCGGGCGAGATGTTGAGCCTATATCTCTCCGTATCTGAGTATGCTGTGAGTTTCGTGCTTATCAGGAATGAAGAAAGGGTCCAGTTGCCAGTCTACTACGTAAGCAAGAGACTATTGGACGCCGAGTCTAGATATTCCGAAATGAAACAGCTAGCTCTCGCCCTGATGATAGCTTCGAGGAAGCTTCGACATTACTTCCATGCCCATACAATACAGGTCCTCACAAATCACTCGTTAAGGCAAGCACTACAAAAAACCAAAACCTATGGTTGACTCCTCAAATGGTCGGTAGAGTTAAGCCAGTTTGACATCAAATATGTACCACGAGCAGCCATCAAGGGACAGGCGTTGGCCGATTTCCTTACAGAATTTTCTCACAGGCCAACGCCAGCTACAAACGAAGAAGCTAAAGCAACCGAGTGGAAACTCTACGTGGACGGGGCGTCGAGTGAAGCCAGGTCAGGCGCCGACGTCATGCTTATCAGTCCAAAGGGCCACAAGATCACCTCGGCAGTACCATTCAAATTCAAAGCATCAAATAATGAGGCTGAGTATGAAGCATTGATCGCGGGGTTGCGATTGGCAAGTCACTTGAAGATTCAAAGGATCAGCATCTTTAGTAACTCTCAACTAGTCGTCGGGCAAGTAAAAGAAGAGTAGCAGGTGCACGACAAAAGAATGGGGGCGTACTTGAGAAAGGTAAAAACAGAACTCATCAAATTCAAAAGCTATGAGATACTACAGGTACCAAGAGCTGAGAATACGAACGCCGACGCTTTGGCAAAATTGGCATCCTCGAAGGATTCCGATGTACTGGGAGTCGTCCCCATCGAAGAGCTTGAGCAGCCGACTATTGATGAGAAGGACGAGGCCTTAACCATTCAGCCAGACGAGGGCTGGATGACACCCCTCATCTAATACTTGGCAGACGCAAAGCTACTCGACAACAAGGAGGAGGCCAGGCGGGTCAAATACAGAGCAGCCCGATACCTGTTGTACAATGGTATACTATACCGACGAGGCTACTTAATGCCTTTACAGCGGTGCCTGAATGGCGCTGAGGCACGAGAAGTCCTTCGGGAGATCCATGAAGGAGTGTGTGGCAATCATACTGGGGGGCAATCTCTAGCTCTTAAGGTTTTGAGGCAGGGGTACTATTGGCCTACGCTTAAAAAAGACGCGTTTCAATATGCTTGGCGTTGCGATAAGTGCCAAAAATATGCCACAATTCCTAGAGCACCCCCAGAGAACCTAACCCCCATTCTCTGCCCATGACCTTTTGCCAAATGGGGGATCGACTTGATTGGACCCTCACACCTCGCGCCAGGGGACTTTAAGTTTGCAATCGTCTCAGTAGACTACTACACTAAATGGGTAGAGGTGAAAGCTCTTACTACGACCACGGAGGCAACTTACACTAGCTTCATATGGAAAAGCATTATATGCAGGTTTAGAGTCCCACATTCGATCGTATCTAACAACGGAAAGTAGTTCGGCAACGCCTTAACGCGCAAGTTTTGCAATAATTTGGGCATTTGGAAGGACTTCTTAGCGCCAATTCATCCACAGTCCAACGGCAAAGTTGATTCCGTCAACAAAATTTTAAAATACACCCTAAAGAAGAGGTTGGATGATTTAAAGGGAAAATGGGCTAAAGAACTCCCAAAGGTCTTGTGGGCGTACAGGATGACAAGTCGAACTACCACGGGTGAAACACCCTTTTCCATGACATATGGCGCAGAGGTGGTACTCCCCATCGAAATCACAACGCTGACATTAAGAACTGTTGCACATAACGACGATGCCAATGTGGAAGCAATGGATGGAGAGCTCGACCTCTTGGAAGAAAAAAGGCTCGAGTCTCAACTAGAGCTCGCCACTTACCAACAAAGAACGGCTCGGTACTATAACAAAAAGGTTAAGCAAAGAAGGTTTGTCCCGGGAGACCTAGTACTAAAAAGGGTGACACAAAGTACGAAGCCAAAAAACACTGGTCCCCTAGGCCCGACATGGGAAGGACCCTACCGCATCCGGGAGCTGGTACGCCCAAGAACCTATATATTGGAAAGTCTGGATAGAAGGAAGGTTCAACATCCATGGAATGTGAAACAGCTAAGATTGTATTATCAATAAGTGTATTCCTTATGTGTTGTAGTTAAGATTAGCCTTTCAATAATATATGATTCATTCATTGTGAAATTGGTCGAATACGAAAAGATCAAACCCTGAGAAGACATGCCTCCTGCAAAATTAAGATTTTACAACAGGCATGGGGGCAGTCAAGTCAAATGGGAGTCTACATCCTACAAAACAAAGCAACAAATCCACCAGATTCTTAAAAATCTGCCAAGCCCTAAAGGGCATCTGGACGGTCGACTCTTCCAAGGAGGAGAGGCTTCGAGACCAGATTCTTAAATATCTGCCAAGCCCTTTAGGGGCATCTGGACGGTCGACCCCTCCAAGGAGGAGAGGCTTCCATACTAGATTCTTAAAAATCTACCAAGCCCTAAAGGGCATCTGGACGGTCGACCCTTCCAAGGAGGAGAGGCTTCTAGACTAGATTCTTAAAAATCTGCCAAGCCCTAAGGGGCATCTGCACGGTCGACTCCTCCAAGGAGGAGAGGCTTCCAGACCAGATTCTTAAAAATCTACCAAAATCCTAAGGGACACCTAAGCCATCGACACCTTCAAAAACCGACAGAAGAAGGCTGATAGAAATTCATACATTTATACATACATATATAAATAATAACATCTACATTGTTTAAAAATAAAAACTTTTATTTTGTTTTGGCATATTACAAAAATTACATCTCCTAAGCCTTGTCGCCATCGCCAGCATTACGATCTCGCCCAGCTAACCCATTATTACTCTCGCCGCTAGGAGAATCTTCACCATTAGAAGGAGGATCATAAAGGAATTCTAGGTTGAGGCTAGGGAGGTGCCTATTGATTCGGGCAACAATTTGCTCACTAATGGATGACATGTTTTTAGCGCGCAGGTCATAAAAATTGTTTGAGGATTTAAAATCTTCAACAGCCTTGGCCGCGACATCAGAATTTTTTTTAGCATAGTCTACAGAAGCCAGGAACTCCTCGACACCCTCCTTCTTCCCCAAATCATAGCCCTCCTGCTTACCAAGATTATATCCCTCCTTGCGAAGGGCTTCTTTGGCATTAGCAGCCTCTTGGCGAACAGAAGCAGTCTCCTTCTGAGCTGGCTCCAGGTTAGCCTTCGCCACCTCAAGCTCCTTAACGGCAAGGGTGAGCTTCTTAGAAACTTCAGCCTTATCATCCCTCGCCTTCTTAAGGAGACCCTTTAGTCGCCCCTCAAGCTGATCCATTGTCATACTCTTCTCATCGATCGCGACCATCTCAAGATAATTAAGGATGAAGAGAGAGAGGGACTGCCAAAAATGGGGAAGCTGTTAGAAAAATACATGTGTATACGCAGGTAGAATCCACCAACAAAAAGGGGACTTACATGGATAGCGGAGGAGATTTACTGACGAGCACGCTCAACCAAAGGAAGGTGAGAAGCAGTCTCCCAGTTCTCCTCAAAGGACTCATACATAGCCTGAAAGAGGGCAGAGAAGCGCGGAGGCATGTTCAGCGCTGCATCAATCTGCACCCAGGAGACATCGGTCACAACAAAATTTGGGTCCAGCACCCTCTGCTCGGGAAGCAATAGACGCCCTGGCTCTGAAGGGGCGTCAGAAGCTTCGGCGTTAGTAACATCAATTATTGGCGTAGGCTCGGGTACTGTAGGGGTCTCCTCTCGTCGGGGCCTCTTTAGTCTCGGCATTCCCTGTGCCGACGCCTCAGCCTCGGCGGGCTTTGTCGAGGAGACATCAGCGCCAGCAGCTTTGCTCGATGGCCCACGAGGTTTCTTCTTGGAACGTCTCTTGTCTCCAGGGATGCGCAGACTAAGGGTCTTCATCTTTATAGCAGTCGAAGCCTAAGTAAAGAAAATAATAAAAATGAAAGAAGGAAAAAAGAAGGGAGAGAGAGTTGACTGACTGCCGGCGGTAAACCGGAAAAAGTCGTTGAGGGTGTCAGTGTTGGCAGGGTCAGGAAGGGATAACAGAAGGCCGGAGTGCTCTAGGTTCTTCCACGTCAAAAGGGTATTAATATGACGCTCGTCCTCTGAATAGCTGAAGGCCGTCTCCACCCGGGTGAGCCTGTGACAAGTAAGCTGGGGATGATCTTGAGAAACTGCACAAGGAAAATTAGGGTCAGCGGTGTAATAACCTGACGACAATATGGTAGACGGTCGAAGGTACTCACTGAGCATCCTAAAAGACCTTCTCACCCTCGCCCTCTTAAAAGGCATGTCCGCTAGATGGACGTCGAACATGCCTTTTACCATAAAAAACATTGGCTTCCATCCGTGAGACGACGATGGCAGCCCTTTTATTAGCCTACCAAAGTGCGGTTCGATCACCCATAGCCACCCAAAAAATACCATCCCTCGCATTTGGGGACTTGACACAACTTATATACAAAATGAAACTCATCCAAATGGAGCTCTACGTCAAACTTTATGTCCCAAAGAATCCACATGATGGCGAAGATATACCAGAAGTTTGGCGCCAGCTGGGTAGGGGAGATTTCATAAAGGTTGTAATAGTCCTTCACGAATGGATGAATGGGGAGAGTCATCCCCGCAGTAAAAACCTAGGTATATACGGACATATACCCCGGAGGAGGTTGACTTGCCATGTGGTGAGGGTCGGGCAAGAGGAACTCGAACCAACGACTATCCACACTCCCTTTCTGGTACGCATGGACAATGTGCCTATCACAGGTCTTCGGCGCCATAAAGTCGGCGGTAAACGACGGCCGATCCTCGTCCGGCCCTACCGACGCAACGGGAACATCTGTTGACTTGCCACTAATCCCAATGGCAGAAACACCAACTAGGGAGCTGCCGGAAGAAGAAGCTTCAGCGGTATTTCCCTCATCATCATCACCGTCGATCATTCGGTCGACGCTGTCTCCATCATCCCGTGGATCCGGGACATAGCCTTCAACATCCCTTATGAGGGAGTCACTGGCATTATGAATAGAGGGACATTCGGCAGCTGGAGACAGATCCGGCCTTACCACATGTACTCCCCCTCGACGTAGTCTTCTCTTAGGTGCCATTACTGTTAAGAAAGAACTTAAGGTTAGTCCTACAAGTCGTGAGGAGGAGAAATTAGTTCAGGATTTTAAAAAGAAAGAAAACGAGTCCTATTTGACTAAGACGCCGACCATTCAAACAAAACAACGACATTCAAACGTAACGACGACTGTTCAAGATAAATCAACAATACCAAACAAACCCGAAAACTGCTCAAAATTCCTATGGCTATTCCGAGGTAACGTGAATAAAAGTCAGAACAATTTCCAAGCTCCCATTATACCGTTTTCTACTTGTTTCCTTCTAAAAAGTCAAAGAATCTACTAGGAGCCATGATAGATGAAACACGATAGAAGCATGAAGAAAGGACGGAAAAATGCTTACCAAGAGTTAAGAAGCGAGACTAAGGCACGAGCGTTAGGAAGAATATCACCGAGGAAAGCAGAAAGTCCTGGGGCAATTTCTACAGAGCTTTGGCAAAACAAAGGAAAAAATTGAAAAGGTTGGCTTTCGAGCGCTTATAAATATAACAGCCTTCAATCCCCAACCGTTCGATCGTGTGTAAGCATATCCGATGGCGGAGGCATAAAGATCAGATCCTACGGTTGGGGGAAAAGCGAGAATCTGAAAAGGGTTAATCCAAGGGCCCAGAGTTGTCCAATTTAAAAGACGGGCCACGTCAGCATGGAAGTAGGACCAACGCGACGTTTGCACTTCTCGAGGCAACAGGGCCATCATGACTCAGGTTCGGAGTTAGGTTTCCATACCCGAGGCAGACGAAAGGAAGCACCAG